GCTTTCATTTAAATTCTAAATGAAATTAGAATGCGGAAAGAGTTTTGTGAGTAGTCATTATTGTCAATTTTTATTTGCAATTTTGCAATTTTTTTTTTGTGTATTTTTGACGTAATGCAATAATTTTTGCATAATTTTTAAAATCTTTACTGGCTGCAACCTTCACACGTTACGCTATTGTAAAAATACTGCATTTAATTTATTTTTGTTTCATTTTTTTTTTTTCTATAAATCATGTAATATCTAAAGGCGAGTTGTTCATTATTGTACCTGCTGATTTCATGCAAATATACATATATACATACATTAAATTTCACTGCTTTTATTATAATGAATTTTAATTTCGAGTCAAAATGTCATTTAACTAATATAATTAAAAAATCTGGGGATTTTCGGATATTACTGGTTCCAACTAAAATTTCAAATACTCGTAAAATTCAACGAAACTGAATCTGAATTTTTAATTTTAAAAAAATTAATTATAAATATATTTTAAGTATTGAAACAAACTTAACATTTAATATATTTATACAGATTTTTTTGAGAAATTATTCTCACTGTTTTTAAACGCTGTTAAATAGCAGATTTTTCCTTTCTTTTATTAAGTATGAGCAATTTCTTTTATAAAATGGACGCGTTCTTTGTGCTGTTTTTTTTTTCGTCTTGTTTGCAGTCCGGGACAGAGACACAAGAAGTGGTTGATATATTCTACCTCCTCTTCATTTTGGCAGCTCCTCCATAATCCACTTGTTGGAATTCGCCACCGTTGGAGCATAGACGCAATGGCACAGTGTTAGTACTTCTAATAGGCTTTTCGTTTTATTTTTATCCAAGTTAGGCTATAAGTTTCTAGTGACCTCACAGTCTTCGCGGTTAATCCATAAATTGTTAATCGCCGTATTGGTGATTTCCTCTATTATCCTAAACAGCTCACATATCGGTGTTTGTATTGAGAGGTCGGCCTCTCTTAACGTTGCTCAACGTTAGATACGTTAGCCAACAAATAAGTAACATAGTCCTTTTATTATTACATTTCATTAAATTACTTGAATATAAAATTTATAAAATATATAAAATTTCTCAAAGTTATTTATTTTGATGAACCCTAATTTATCATAACCCTGATTTGTCATATTCATAAATTTATTTGATACATCACTTCTAAAATTTTTAAGAAGAATCATCTGATCTTAACCGATTATTTACTAATATTCTCGTTATTTGATAAGGACTGAACTTTAAATGATTCTATTAGATAAAATCTACACAATCTAGAAAACATCTAAAATTTAAGAATATTTAAAAAATGTTAAAAATTCGGATGTATATGTTACATACATTAAGACTGAAAAGTTTTCGGAAATTCTCATTTAAAATTCGCGCGCTGTATATTTTTCGATATTTTAAGTTTATGTAGTTTGGCAGCACTGTCCTTAATTACTATGCCAAAAATGAGCTCGATCTGTCAGACAGTTCGTTTACGGCAGCTGTTGAAACCAGTTCACCTCAGTAGTGCGTTGCGAAATGTCTTCGACGGTCGTACGACCGTCCTGGAAGGCTTTGTACCACTCATAAACTTGAGTTTTCGATAAAACTGATTCCCCATAAGCCTTTTGTAGCATTCGCAACGATTCTGCACACGAAATTTCGTTCGAAACA